TCTGCAAATTGCATGATTGTTCGAGTTGATGGCAAAAAACGAGACACTCTTGTCCAAGGCGATACAGCTTTTCGATCCTTGAAAAATAAACACGTGAGTTTAGAGTAAATTTGAGCATAAGAAAACTACAAAATAAAACTTTTTGCAAAAATTACAAAACTTTTTAATTTAAGCAATTAAAAAGTCACGGATAGGAATTAGCTAAATTAATAATTTGTACAATAAAATGAAGAAGTGGACTGTGAATAGATGACTACATTTCTAACATATAACGTTCTTTAACAGAAAGAATGAATGGTGGAAACAAAAACAGTATCACAAGAATTACAACATTTGTGATAATCGATAGCTAAAGGATGTTCAAAAACCAACACAAACCATGGAGAGAAATCGAGCTCTCTCTTCATGCTTAGCAATATCATCTGCAAATGAATGATGAGTTTTTGTTAATAGTAACATACGTCCAACCAAATCCTGAAAATTCTCACTTATACATTCCCAACTTTTAGAGACAGATACATGTGGATAACAATTACATACTATAAGGGTACATATTTCTCTTACCGTTGTCGAAATTCCAGACGTCCGCATGCACTCACGATAACGTCCGCACTTTTTGACATCTGCATATGTATCAGTACCATCTGCAGATAACGTGATGTCGTCTGGAATACAGTTATAAAAATAATACTCTTCTACTATCGAAATCGAAACAATAAACAATTCCCAACTATTAGCTAGGAATGAGCAATGCGCTACTTTGATATTTCACACCTAAAAGCCTTCCTTACCATTCATTAAAATAATAAACATGGATAAACTGCTCTTTTATAATAAATCATTAATTGAAATTAAATTTCGAAATCATAAATTATATTGTTCTTCAGATTATAGAGTTTTGGCAATGGAACCATTACACGATGCTTACCACCGTGAACACAAAAATCGCAGTTGTACTTATCGAGTGTTTCAACTGTCGTCACATAAGGTGCACCTTCAACGACCTGGAAATTACATCCAAATTATCGGAAGGAAAAATGTGTGATGAAACGTAAATAATGCACTGGAGTAAAACGAAATAAATTTAGGAAATTAATTAGAAGTGTAGCAAACCCACCTCATCAACCCATTTTATACCACGAACCATGCGATATCGTTCTTGTTCACTGAACACTGGTGGACCTTTATGCATTTCAATTTCTTCATCAGTGTGTACACCGACAATCAAATAACCACCAAGCTGTTTAGCCTGTCGTAACTGATTTGCATGCCCAAAATGCACCATATCATAGCTGCAAATAATGATTGATTTATTCAAATATCTCTGCCGCTTACTTATTTAATCACTTCTTTTTCTATTTATTTATATTCATCTATTATATTTAAATAAGAAAGTGAAACAAAAAGGATAAGTACCAACCATCCATCGCACCACACTCTTACACCTTTTGATGGATCATTACCAGCAGCTTTTGGAACTTCTTGATGAGACAAACTTTCTGCAGAATCACCACTTCCAACATTTCCACAGTCATTGGTCATTTAGATGAACTTATTTGCTGTAGTAAAAGTATTACACCTGCAAGAAGAAAAGCAAATTGCTTCTATTAACATTAAAATAGAAAACTTAATAAAACGATGGTTAATTCAAACAAAAATTAAAGCTTCATTGAAGCGTTTTACGCGCCCAACATATGGCTTAGCAATAAAACAGATATAAAAGCAACACACATGATCTTTTAAAAAGATCAAATTAAAGCTTACATAATAGTTAAAATTAACCGGATTAAGAGCCTACTAATCCGCATTTGAAACTGTAGAAGGCTGTATTAGCATGAGAAAAAAAAGTAACATAAACAAGATACGACAGTTTTACAAATATTAAAGGCCTATGTAGTTCACGGAGATGAAGCACTCAGAAAAGACAAAATTAAATAATAAATGAGATAGGGTATTCTATTTAACGGTGTTAAAAAAGTTAAATAGATTTAAAATTTACAGAAATAAATAGCATGTTCAACATGTTAGGTAAGAAGTAAAATGTTAGTGTCGGTTGTTGAGGAAAAAAAACCGATTGAAGGCAACAAAAGAAATGATTACGAATGCTGAAGCAATTAAAATGAGCACATCTGGATGGTAAACATGCTGGTGTTTGCTTTTTTTTCATTTTTTTTTTTTTTTGATTTTCCAAAAAAGGAAAAAAAAATACATTGAATATTGGAAATTATAAATAGATACAAAAAAAGGGAAAATATGAGTGATTAATCAAAAATCATTACAACTTTTGAGGGTGAAATGCAATAATGAGGAGATTTGATAGGAGAAATGAGAGCTATGTCTGTCCGAAAAGAAGGACGCGAGGTTGATGAACTGTAACATAGTAATGATAATGGCAATAAAAGCCCAAACATTAATCCAATGTTTAATCAATGACCACCACTCAAATACTTCAAGTTCTAGGAGTTTCCAGTGTAAGGAAGAAAGAATGGAATGTTTAAACAAATGATCGACACGATAACCAAAAAATGCTTATAACTCTTCCAATAATGCAAAAATTGTTTGCTATACTATCGCCTATTTCATTAATTCTTTCTCTTCACAGTCAATGCAAAATTCGTACTTTTTCTGGATACAAAAAAATTCTAACTTTCTCATTGTTGTAAAATTAAAAGTCATTCAAATGACATTTCGGGAAGTGCTCAATTTTGAACGTACCAGGAAGTAATAAATAGGTAGTAAAAAATGCAAGTGCAAAAATGATCAGTTTAGTTTTAAAATTAGGAAAAGGAGTTCCTGGTAGGTTATAACAAACAAACGTTTTGCGTGGAGGTCACGTGAAAACACGCAAGCGCAAGTAATGCAAGCGAACTTCAATGGTGAGAATGGCTTGTGCAAAATTAGCTATTAACAGGAATAGAAAGACAAGTTTCATTAGATGAACCAGAAAAAATGATCGCTGCTTGTGAGTACCACCGGGACCGGTTTAACTGATGAATACAAGCACATATTTCATATCAGTGGAAAGAAGAAATTTTATGCGTTTTTTAATCTAGCTAGCATCTTATTATAGAAAGTCACTGTATTTTGTATTTCTCAATTCTTCTCTCATCTTTCCAGTCGACATTTCTCTGAAGTTAACTAAATTAATTGAATGATTCCGTTATTCATCACCACAAAATGTGGCATTACTCCAATGTCAACAATGAGTAAAATGATTAAATTAAAATAACTGAGAATGAAAGAATTCGTCAAAATTTTCGAGTCACTGATGATGCAAGCAAGCAATTTTAGATCATCGGTTAGGAAGAATTTTATTTGTCTAAACATTATGTGTGAGTGGTTTTTTTCAAACATTATATGTGAATGGTTTAGACTGCTGCACACTGATAAATCATTCGGTACAAACCTGGAATTATCCCAATTATTTTTTACAACACCTTGAAATAAACCAAGTCTTTAAATTTCAATATAAAACAAAACGAACCGTTTTAAGTCACATACAATTTTTCTAAATAAACAGTAATGTTAAGCAAATATTTACAGTTCTTTTGCTAATATTTATGTAGAGCTTTTAAACACTTATCATATGGAAAAAAAATTATTCATCAACTTTGCAAGTTTCTAACATAGACAAAAATAAGCAATTGAAAAAACAAATAAACAACACGAAAATAATAACAAAGTCAGGTAATATTTGGTTCCATCTGTATGCATATAGCAAATGAATTCAAAAAGTATTTTTTTTTGCTTAAACGAAAGATAAGAATATGCACTTATTGTCAGCAGAAAAAAAAGCGAACCATCGAAAAACTTTTAGTAGAAATCGTAAAATGCTTGTTTTAGCATACAGGCAAACTGTCCATGATAGAAAAGCTTTACAATTTGGTAGTGAAAAAAAAAGGCCATCTGAATCGAAATGATTCTTTCAAATGGCAAGTGGGATGACAAATAAACTAGTCAACTAGTAAGGGGACCACATCCCACGAACATAAATATTTTTAGTTTAGCCTTATCACATTTTTCCCTTTTTCTTTCGTTTCTTTTTTTTGGATTTTACTGTTCTGAAGTTTTTTTTCCAACTTGTTCCTTTGTGCACAAGAGGTACTAACTCGTTTTCTTAAACTGAAATAATTTCCAAAAATGGAAATTACTTCAAAATTATTGATTAACCCTTTGTTCTCTGAAATGGTCCCATAAAATTAACAAAGAATGAGATAGAGATGTTTTATAGGCAATTCAAAAGAGATAATGAATTAATTAAGTAAATTACAATTATACTTTCACCTTTTTTTTTATTCGAAATGTGAAAATTTTTCAGCCAAATTTCTTCTGCATTCCAACTCCCTCTATTACACTATAATTGATGCACGTTTGCTCTCTGATTCTCAACATCACATGAAGAAAGTGCAATTAATAGCTAGAAAAAAAATTGAATTAATTAATTAATTCAACGTGAATACGGACGGTTACTGCATTTCAGATTTATTTTCATGCTATTTCATAAAAGAAGTACGGATAATATAATACTTTAACTTCCTATATTTCAAAACACATAAACACAACCACATAGGATCTCCATCCCCGCGTCACGTAACGCCACACAATCTCAGCAAAGTTCCCCCTGACCGTCTAACTGCTAGCATAACGCGACAAGTCGCACCACCTGAATACACGTATCTCGCAGTTTCCTCGTTGTCTAATTTATTGCATTCATTATTTCTTTGAAACTTGAAAGTACCACTTGGACATTAATTGTCGAGAGTTCATTCAGGTCAAGTCACTTTGTGTCACGGCAAGTTTTTCACTCAGTTATGCGTCAATTCGTGGAAGTACTTTAGAGTAATGAGTACTGAAGTTCGAACAGACAATACAATTTCGTTTTGATGCGCGATAGTTACGGTGTGACGGATTCACGTAAATTTGGGAGAACTTGTTGTAAAACTCTTTTTTTCTGAAGCCTAAACAAGACGAGCATTATCTGATCTGTTTGCCTTGGCATGATGTCCTTAGTGGAAACTGGTTGGCGACAGTTTACTTTTTTTGAAAAGCACAATGTTTATGATCCGAATAATCCAAAATGCAGGTTTAATGGATTAAAGGTTTCTTTTCAATTTCTGTTTTTTTTTTTTTTTTTCCAGTGTATGGAATTATATGATGACCGGTTTCATGAAAAACTCGTCTAAGTTCCATTATGAAGATACAGATGGATGTGTTGCTGATTATTAGATTTTGGATGTATTTGCAGAATCTTAAGGCATTTCGTTCTGTATCTGGTGTTGGATTCACAGTATTCGGAGAACCATGTGGTGCAATATTCAAATTATCGCGCAATTTGGAGGAATACTGTTGGATTGCTCACAAACATTCACTGGCCGATATAGCTCTTGCTGGTCTTATTCTTGCGACGGTTGGAGTAAGTTGTTGAAATTTAATTGTTTAAATTTGAAAAATTAAGTCAACTTTTTGCGGATTAACGCATTTCATTTTGCAGATGTGCTTAGTTTCTGTCATTCAGATTGATTAATTGCCAGTGTTTTAGTTACACTGAGCGCTGTTTAGACAAATATACAATTGATGACACTTAAGATTTCAAAAACTGAAAAGGAATTAGAGATGACAAACTTGCAAGGTGTATGAGAATTTATGTGCAAATGCTAAAAGCTAGAAAATATTCAAAAATGAATTGCAAATAAGAGTAAACTTGCACAGTTTATCGAAGTAGTATAATAAAAATGTGAAATCATAAAGTTAATACAGAATGAAAAAACGACTGATTTGCAGGAAGATGAAGAAGGGATTAATTCATTAGTTAAATTATGGCAATTAGATCGAATTGAGAAAGACGCGCCATTTTGTATACGCGTAATACGTGTATGTCCTCTGTTAGGTGTTGGACGTAGTACGCGAGCATGTGCCATAGCGTTAGACTCATCTTTACAACATATTGCTGTTGGCTTTGTTGATTCCTCCGTTGTTTATTCTGCAACTAATATCAAAGAAAAGTGAATTTTAGCTCTTTTATAACTTATGCATTTGTTTATAAATTTTTAATGGAGAAATTTACGTTCCAGCGTTATTGTCAAGCATGAACCGCTTAAAAAGTTAGGTCATTTTTCGTACAAAAGTACGCGTCAGGAAGAATAATAACATAATTTAACAAATATATCCTGCTGTACTATCTTGAAATCATAGGTTGGCATGCACGATCACTGTGGGAATTAGACAGATACATCGAAAATATTCAGCACATATTTCATATATTTCATGACTTTTGAAGGATCATTTTTTAATAGAATTTTAGATCTGGCAAATGGCTTACTGTGGTTAATGGTTCAAGTTCAGGACCAGGCGACGAAATAACAGGTGTTTTCCTTACGTGGACTGCTACTCAAGATCTATGTATCTTGTATTGTTTAACGCCGACATCTGTATTGTCTTTTTCAATTGCTAATAAAACTGTTACAAATAAGGTGTGTGTTTTAACCATTTTTCTTGTTTTTTCTTAGGACTATGTAAATTTTTTACACATATAAAGTAGTACCAAACAGTTTTTTAATTTTTCATTTTCTGAATAATAAATGACTCTCTTTGAAGGTTGTACACGATGCTAAAGGTTGTTTGCGTGACTGCTGGAGTTTTAATGAAACGCGAAATCAACTTATTGTGGGTAGTACTGAGGTTTCTTAATGCATTTGATTTCTACTTGTCTAACTAAATTATATTGTAAATGAATATTAGTTGCATATGTTTCATATTCTGCTACTTTTAAGTATGGATTACATTTCTTTAATAGAAATGTTTTAGCAAGGTCTGCATAATGTATTTTATAGATGGTACACTTCTATGAAGCAGAACGGAGTTTGACAGCTGATCCTGACAGCGGTAAAGGTCGTTGCCATGCTCTTGGTCGAAGCAATGAAAAAATTCAATTAATTGCATTTGATTACCACGTTGCATTACTTACACGACAGCCAACTGCTATACCGTTAGTTTTCGAATTTAATTCGTAAAATAAAAAAAGAAAATTTTGAATTTACGATGATCCTTTTGCTTTTTTTCAAGAGTTTCTGAATCTTTTCTAAGTTATTTCAATGCTTTTACTTCTGAACACATTACAAAGAATTTTAACATTTATTTCAGATCGTCAAATGAAATATGGACATATGTTGTCTCAATATATGATACTGAAGGGCAGTGTGTTGCATTTTCGTGCGCTATTCCAGCTGTTTCAAGGATGTTTTTGTTGGATAATGTGTTAATGGTGCTTAGTCAAGATGGAACACTTTCAGCTCTTACAGAAAAAAGCATTAGTTCAAAATTGGATATTTTGTTCAAGAAAAATTTGTATGACCTCGCTGTTGGGTCAGTTATTCTTCGATGTTCTACATTATTTCTTTAATCTTTCCCTTTTGTCTCATTTTATATTTTGGAATTTTCTGCAAATTACAGGGTTGCCAAGAGAAGTTCAGTTTCTTCGGAACATCTTCCTGAAATTTATAAGAAATATGGTGATTATTTGTACAGGTATGTGAATGATTACCCATATGCTATGTTATGTAATTTAACTTATCTTTATTTGCTTAAATGATTTATTCTAGAAGTGGAGATTTTGAAAATGCAGTACAGCAGTACACGGAAACTGTCGGATACCTGGAACCATCATATGTTATTAAAAAGGTTTTGGTTCAGATAATTTCCCAGTTTCACAATTTACGTATCATATTGCTTACTACGTGCATTTATTTGTTTGTACTGAGGTAATAGTTTTATTAATCAGTCTTTTCAAGCATAATAATTTTCAGTTCCTGGATGGTTCTCATATAAAAGAATTGTGTATGTATTTAGAAGTACTTCACGCTAAAGGTAAAGCAAACAGTCATCACACGACCATATTATTGAACTGTTATACTCGTTTGACAGCACATGATAAAATTCGTGATTTTATTGACCGTAATTTTGAATGCAATATTGAAACAGCTGTTCAGGTATTGTTTGAAATTTTAAAAACTAGTTTAAAAAAAAATTTCTGCCGTTAATACATTGCAGTACGTAAGATGTATAACCGGTAATCACCTGCAAGAGTTTAAATGTTTTTTTTTTTTTTTTTTTAAACCAAGAAAGTGTTTGATCATTAAATCACACAGATTAAATAATAATTACACTTTTTATTTTGAATCGTCCTTTTACATTACATTGTCTTTCTTGATTGTTAACTTTAAGTTTAATGATCCAAAAAAAAGTTTTGAATAACTGGAACATAGGTGCTGCGTGCAGCAAATTTTACAACGGAAGCATGTCATCTCTGCACGAAGCATAAGCATCATGATGCGCTGTTAAGTATCTTGATTGAAGATCGAGCCGATTATAAATCTGCGCTTAAATACATTGCTAAACTAGAAACTCCTCAGGTCTTTTCTTTTTTATTAAAGTAAGAACATTTTGTATCAGTTGTTTCATAAGTATTCTGGGAAAGAGGAGTGAAATTCACTCACAGTTTTTCAAATTCAGATTGAGGAATGCTTGGAAAAATTCGGAAAATGCTTATTGATAAACAGCCCTGAAGAGACGATGAAGTTGTTGTCAGATAAAGCATGTTTCAGTTGGTAGTTTGATTATTTATTATGAAGGTATAAAATAACATAATAGTAGAAAATAACACTGTTGCACTTTCCTGGTTTATTGTTTTCTAATTGCAACAGTCTATCATAATTGAGTGAAGTTATGGGATCGCTATTTTAAAAGTTTGGTGATTGACGTTTTTACGGGTACGTTGATGATATTTGCCTCCAAAAAAAGGGAATCGAAGTGGTGAAATTTCAGGTCAAATCAATTCTCTTGCTTTGATGAAGGTTTTCATTGGATTACCTACACAATGTACCAGATTCATAGAGACAGCACTAAAGAAGGTATTCAATTTTTGAATCTTATACTTTGAGTTCAAAATAACTGAAATTTATTGGACAATATTTCAAGATTTTAACATTATACACAAACAGTGAAGGGCTGTAATGTGTAACAGATAGTTTAGGTGTGATGTCGCCTGTTATGTGGCACGCACTTTTTGTGTTCTTTTATCTATTCAGTTTATTCTATTTTCAGGATAAGAAAAATAATGAAAAGTTGCGTAATTTACTACTGGAGCTTCGCCTTCGTCAGTGGGCACTACGTGACGAGGTTTTTCTTTATTGGGTTTGGGTTGTATTGCGGGAATATGGTTTTAATTGATGATTGTTGCTAATACTTTTATTATTCAGCATGGCTATCTTTCATTTTCTTTTATTTGTTAATCAAAAATTTCTGATTACTACGTTTCATGATACGCCTAATCATGATGAGGAAATTATGGAATTAATCACAGACGAAAATTTGGAAGAATCCTTGGAATTATGTCAACTATTCAATTATATCCCTGGAATCATTTATATATATAAGAAGATGAAAAGGTAGAATTGTAAAGATTACTAGAGGTAAACTGCACAATAATTTTCGGTATTTTAATCTATTAGTTTAAATTTTTTAGATATGATAAACTTATCGAATACTACATGCGACAAAATAAGCTCAGAGAAATTGTTGAATTCTGTGAAGAAAAAAAGTTTGTTTTAAATTCTTTTTGTTTTAAATTCTTTTCTCTCAATTCAGACCTTTGTAGCTTCATGAGTTAAGCAAACTTGTGTAATCTTTTTTGGCTTTTGCAACAACTTCAAGTTGAGCAAGTAACAATAACTGTTACCTTCAGCAGTCGTGACCTATGGATCGACACAGTAGTGTTCGCTTCTCGTGGAAAGGATGTAGATCCCGACGCAATAAAATTTTTACTTGAACGGTTAGATTGTTGGCTGTAATTTTTCGGACTGAAATTTAATTTTTTTTTTCATCAAGTTTGTTTATTTGCTTGCAGAATTGAGGCGACGAATAGCATCCATCCACTCGTTGTTCTCGAAATTCTTTCTAAAAGTGACAAAATTTGTGTTGGTCACGTGAGAGATTATATTGTCAATTGGATGGAGAGACAAAATGCTCAGGTACTCAGATATTTTTCATAAATGATAATATCTACAGTGTTTCCATATCTTAATTTGAATTTGAAGTAACATATTAATTCTAATTGTATTCAATTTCGGTAACTGATGTAGTTTGTATTTTCTTTTTTTCCTGTAATTATTAATATTAAGCCATCCATTTGTTTAGCCAGTGCCGTTTTTTTTTTGTGGTGGTAGTGTGGCTCTTCGTATTTTGGGGATCGTTCACTGTTAAACTGCTGTTAAAAAATGAAAAACAATTTTGTTTCTTAATCATTAGTGAATGAATATTTGAGGTTGAGAAGGATGAAGAAGCCATTCTCGAAGAGGAGACGAAAATGGCCGAAATTGAGGAACAAATTGACAGTATTACTTACAAGTTCGTATTTTAAAAGCATTATATCTTTACCAACTGTAGATCTAAATAATTGATTACGTCATTTGACTCGAAAATTTTGTTTAGTTTTGCAGAGTGCAAATTTTTCAAATGAACAAATGTTCTGCATGTGACACCTCTCTTCAATTACCTGCTGTACATTTCCTATGCAAACATTCCTACCATGCTCACTGCCTGGAATCATATAGTGAAAAGGCTGACTATTGCCCAGCTTGTATGCGAAACAGCTTTAATGAAAGGTTTAATAACAACTACTTGATTCTTCAGTGGTAGAAAGACTACAGAGTATTTTATATCATTTCATAAATTTATGTATGATTTGACGTGATATGACTTCATTGATAAAGTTGTATTGATTAACTTTATGGATTTTTAGGATGCAAAGTGATGAGGGGAAAGACTTCTCCACACGTAGCGCTTATATTCAATTTCAGAATGAGGTATATATATATGTCTAATTGTTTATTAAATGAGTCAAAAAAAAAAAAAACGAAAGTTAAATGAGTCAAAACAAAAAAAAAAAAAGGATGATCGAGCAGTGTTATATTGATTATCTAATACATGACACTTAATTTCAGGTAAACGAATCAGTCGATTGTATGACCCTCATTTCTTCGTATATTGGTGACGGACTTTTCGATCCGTGGTCAAAGGGTCCTCAGTCGGATACTAGTGCAACGAACAAAATAAATGTAAATCAGTTCGAGGATCAGTCATCCGAAAAAACAATTTCAATGAGCACAACAATATCTAATCCTTTTCTTACTCCAAAAACGATGAATTCAGGTACAGCAAAATCTGTGCAATCTACCAATCCTTTTGATGTTCATGATGATTCCAAGAATCCCTTCGAAGAGGACTTATGATTATTGCTGTGCAAAATTTTGAAACTGTAGAGAATGAGAGATATATTCTTGGATATTTTTCTCCTTACTAGTCGACAGGAATGCATATAAAAATATGCCTTATAATTTCTGCATTTTACTAACTACATTATAGCTAGTCTTGTATATCATCTGATAAAGTTTTCTTAAGCAAGCAGTGAAAGTCTGATTATGGTGCTAAAAATAAGTTTTACAGTTGAGTGGGTAACTTATTATGTTACTTTTGTTGTATGAATATAGAGATTCTATATAACATAAGTGATTCATAAACATGTTGATGTGAAGATTTCAAGGATGGCTTCCATAAATTGACACCTTTACTCTGTCGAACAATTGTTCGTGTTGTTGACTTACCGAATTTAACGGATCGAATCTATTCAAGAAACACCAAATAAAATCTATTCAAATTGAAATCTTCCTACTGATGCACTCTTTTTTAAATCCTTCGAGGCCTCCTCACCTTCCGCCGGTATGAATTTTTGTTTTGAGATTGCTTCTGTTTAATACAGCCGAATATTTGGTGCAGGTTGATTTCTTTAGGAGAGGTTTTATTCTTGGACGTTATAGGATAGTTGTGGTTTACCACTAACAGAATCAATTACTCTGTGGTGTTTCTTTTCAATGATCCAGATGATATTCGCTTAGGTAAGGATGTCAACAGTGTAGAATAACACAAAGGATTTGAGAAAGTTTTATTTGGCAAATAAAATAAATTGTAGTAAAAAAGAGAAATGAGTACAATGGACTTCAATTTTTATATAGTGAGCATTAACATGCATCTTTACAGAAAAAAAAAAGACAACAAATAATTCAGTAGAATACAGCTAACAACCTCTTAAACAACAAGCAAATATTAGTTTGGCTACTAGCCTGGAAGATATTCACAATGAAATTAACACTTAGATTGCAGCCGTAATTTTACAATTGATCAATCCTATTCGTTTGCGTATGGACCAAAGCATGATGACATCCAGTGAAGCAGCAAGAACACTAATTTTTGTCCTCGATTTCCTAAAATTGAATTAAATTAGACCAATTAGATTCGTAAAATTTTAGGATGAGATTGTCAAACAATTGCATGCTAATTTTACTTCCTTACATAAATGAGAACTTCCAACCCTCCTCCGCTCTTCTACATACGGATCCATTTGAAAAATAACAATGATTGCTGCATTATTCATATATTACTTTAAAATTTAGAGAACTTAAAATTTTAGAAACCTTAAAATTTAAAAAACTCTTCACCTTCCTGTTGATGTTTACCTGAATAGAAATAAAACGTGAAAAGAAGAAACAAACCAATCATCCATTTGAGACACCAGTGTCCACTTAATCCCACTTATTACCACTCGCCTGTTCCTCCTTCCTGTCCATCCATCCACCTACTTTTTTTTTTACTTTTTAAGTTTTTATTTTTTTCAAATTCTTTTCAAATTTTTTTATTTTTTTTTTAATTTTATCTTTTTATAATTATTTTTTTCTTTCATTTTTCTTTTTAGATCTTTATCTTATCATTTTTTTATGACTTTTTATTTTTTTATTTTTTTTTTCATTTTCCTTTTTATATTTTTATTTCCTCTATTTTTCTCATATTTTAATTTTTTTGAATTTTCATTTTATTTTTTAAAATCCGCCAACCTCCACCCCACCTTCTTTGAACATGTACAATCGGTCCACCTGAAAAACAACAATAACTCATGTTTCACTCCCTCTCAGAGAACATTAAGTTCCGGAGCTTTAACAGGCTCTACTCCAACGTTCTTAATATCATTTAAAGGATTTTCTGCTTTTTCGCTCATGTTTACCTAACAAAAACTCAGAAACCATTATAGAACAAAGAAATTATAGTAACAGTGAAAGAAAAGAAAGTCACCCACTTCCATACCATATTTGCGTCGGGCAGCGAAAACTTCTGTTCAATCATTCTTTTCCACTCGCCCATTTCGTTCTTCTCGTCCTTCTTTTTTATTTTTTAAATTTGTTTTAAATTTATTTATTTTTTTTTTCTTGATTCCTCCACCTCCTCTCCACTTTCCCTTGGCCAAAGGTTGTTCTAAAATGTATATTTTATAAAATTATTGAAGTCCAGATATTCAAAAAATACATGCAGCAGAAACTGTTACGAAAAACAGGTCTAATCAACAAATGACAAAAATTTTAATCTATTAGATTACATCATTACATCGTTTTCTTATATTAACTGACCACTTTGCATGCTGTTTAATCTTATGAAGATAACATCAGATTTAAGAAACAAGATAATAGAAAAATCAAAAAGGTACAGACGCAAACGAAATATGGGGCTCAGCTTTCAACTAGAGACTACGAGCAAGGAAAAATTAAACATCAACATGAATAATAAACACCAATACTGAATATGGACTGATGATTTCTTTCGCTGCAATTACGAAACGTTTCTTTTAAATATGAAACACCTTTAAGGCCCGGCCTTGCAGTCGCTACAACAAACAATTCATCATTTTTTTTTTCAACTAAATCCACTTGAACTCAATAAAGAATTATAAAATAATCAGATCAGAATTGAAATCATCAAATTCTTTCCTGAGACTACTGCCCACCTACCGGGATATTCCTTACAGCATTGTGTTAGGTGCTGCACTTCAAGCTCCCACATCTATTAAACTCTGCAGTGAAACTTATTATGTATATATATATATTAGTAAATCCCGAAAAAAGAGTATTCTCTCCAGTACAGGACACTGAAAGCTCACCGCACGTGAGGGTGAGCACGTAAATCGCTACCCAGCAAGTCTACCTTACCAACACTGACTTCCAGAAAAAAACATCCAGCACTGACCCACAAACACTTGCGTCCCACTTTTCCCTCACATCAAACGTAGCTCTCTCCTCCCCAACCATTGCATAACCCAACCCACTGTGCAACTTTTTTTTTCCTGCCAATTAAAATAGAATGCACCTGATCCCGGTCAAAGGAGTGTTTTTAGTGGAACACAGTGGATGTCGTGAAAAATTTGGAAATTTAATTTTTGTTTTGGGAGAGATTGTTGATTTCGGGCAGATTCGTTGGATGTAGATGTAAGTATGTGGGGTAACAGAGGAATATAAATCCTTTATTAGCAGAAGCAATAGTATATATAATTTGATAAAGAATTGAACTTTCCTCGTTCTTGGTAAGACACACAGTGCCCTCTCTCAACAAAGATGACCTCCTTGTGTAGCAAGCAACAAGCGTAAACAAAATAATATGATTTACAATAAAATGATTAAATAAAGAGCTGTTGACTTGGGTTACAATCAATCTATTTACTAATTGATAAGCCACAAAGGACATCAGTTAAGCAAAAGTTGTTGACCTCGTAAATTCAAGGATAATTTACAATTATTGCCGACACAGCAATGAGGTGAACTAAGCTGATACCAACAATTTCTGATTTCTAATTTCTTCAGCTCCAAACTTTAGCATTTTATGCAAAATCTTTTATATGGTTAGCACAGTTCTTCATGTACAGTTATTTTTTACTTATTAAAATCTGGTATCAAACGAGGATTGGCAATATTACATCCAATTTGTGGCATCTAATTCCGCTTTAATATATTTCCATGAATCTTTTAGACATCTTTTTTTAAAGAGGAATTTATAAATTTCATCTTTGTCGTACAATTTCACCTCTTCTTCTATTGCTGAACATCACTCTCGTCGCATAATAACCTACCTTATATTTCACAATTAAATTAGGTTTGATAAGATATTTACTCGAGACTCTCATAAGAACTTTCTACGACATGAATTAGACGTCAGAATGTCTGTGTTTTTCCGCTGAAAAGAAAACCTGCATTAAATGTTAAGTTATGTAAGGAACAAGAATGTTCGGTAACATTCTTGTTCCTTACATGACTTAAATTACCGCACTCAGTCAGAGATGATGTTTAGTATTCATAAGAGATATCCAGATGTTAATTTGTTTGGTTTTTACAAGTCGAGTTGCTTTGTATGATGCATTGTATGAAACTTTGTACAATACTGCAAACATTAGCATAAATATATTAATGAGAATTAAAAAATTCTTTATAATACATATAAAATCTAGACGATATCATCGTTCTGGCATTAAGATTACTTCATATAAGCAATGGACGAATTTTCTTACATCCTAATAGTTTAGTGACATCAAGCGTAGAATAAATACGATGCACTCAAGAAACAATCGTCAAAAGTAATAGACGAAATAAGTAGCTTAGACAAAATGGCCTAAATATCGTCATTTTTCTTACTTTTGTTTTGTAAGAAGAATAAATTCTGAACTATCGATAAATTGTGCATTTTCCATTAGTTGCAAGTACTTCGTATGAAATTGAACATCCGTTGAAGGCTGGTATAGCATCCATGCACTCCTTTCCCGAACATTTGTTTGTTTTACACTTAAAAAAACGTTGTCACTATATTCACTGTGAATATACTCAATACAAATATATTATCATAACAAATTATGTATACAATTAATCAATAATCCAACTATTCAAGCATTCATTCAATCATTGGTGCAATTATGGATCTAGTGATGAAAATGGCGAGATTTCGTTAGAATTCTAAATTCTAAAGAAAGAAAAAATCAGTTGTTAGTTTGCTTTTGACTGCTTATCTAATAAAGTCAAAGGAAGCTAAGAGTAAGTGAAGTAATCGTCGATATTTACAACAATACAAGTAATATGCTCTGAAGATAGGAAATCATCGTTATGTTCAAAATCAAAGTTCACCTAGAAATGTGCTAAATACATTAATCAGAAATTTTGGCGCCTTTCATTTGTTCTGGCATTGATATGATATTCTTTATCTTTTACTTAAATTAAAATGTTCTTAAATTAAAGTGTGTCAAATTTCAAATTTAATATATCAAAAGAGAGTAATATAATTCTTTGCTATTACACATATGCCAGGAAATAGCATAGCTGAATAAAAAAATATATTAAGTTATATTTTTAAGCATACTGGTTTCATCCACCTGAAAGCTGTTATGAATTCCAAATTACAAAGTCGACTTGTTTTCTCAGGAGCACGCATAAAATCTGTGAATGTTTATTCAAAAATTGAAATCTGGCAGATTCTGATGGTGTGACAAACCGATTTGAGTTTGTGTTTGATTTTTATTTTTAAATTTGATAAATGTAGAGTCAATTTGATAAAAAAAGTAATGAGAGAAAATCGAAGTGCTTTATTTCTTAGAAGTGACACAACATGTTTTACTTCAAAAGAAAGGTAATTTTCAGCGAAAGTGATGGGAACAGAAAGTCATATCGATTAGAAATTTAAATAGTTCTTATTAGTAATTTAGATTGGACAAAACATTAAAATAACAGAAAAGAAAATTTATAAAGACAAATCATTTATAGATTAAATTTGTAAGCTCTCTATTTTTTATGCAATGAAACAAGTGCTTTAAAAGAAAGTATCATTTATGAAATGTAGAAGAAAAAAATTCGAGATGAAATGCACCAAATGTGCAAAAATTTCTCCATCCCAAAGCAAATATGAAGTTTTGTGGCACACTGGATTTGATTTGATAAATGAACATTGTCAACAAAAAAAAAAGGGAAAAAAAAAACACTGTGAATATATTCATTTAATATCCCAAATGTACTCTATACAAACATATTTTCATAACCAATTATGTACACAATTAATCAATAATCCAACTATTCAGGCATTCAGTCATTGGTGCAATTATGAATTTCCTGATCAAAATTGCGAGATTTCATTAGAATTCTAATCCTAAAGAGAGAAAAAGTCAGTTGTCAATTTGCTTTTGATTGTTTACTGCATAAAATCAAATGAAGCTTAGCATAATTGAAGTAATCATAGACGACTGTAAAGTTGGATAGAGTACAACAAGCATTGGTCCTAAAAAGTGATCACAGGAAGACTAACTGCTAGATGAATAATGAGCTAAAATTTGTTTAGGCAGACCTAGTTGGATTAATATGCATATTTTGTACTTCCTCACATGGCACTGCAGGTAACATACGCCTTCTTGTTCGTGATGTTGTTTGAATATCTAAAATATGTTCACTCGTTTCAATTTTTGTTCATTCCAATCATGACTGATAATGAGGCAATAAGTTTGCACGTAAACAAATAGCGCACGTGAAGAAAAAAAAACGGATCAGTTAGCATTGAGAGAAAATGTTAATCTAATCTTTGGAATTTCTTCCTTGAATAGCATAGGATTATCTTAAAAGAGGTGACCGACCAACCATTAGCAATTGCAAATAGTTTGATTTAAATTTCTAATCAAAACCTTCATTCAGGTATTTCACTCTTTTACACATTATCTCAGTAGATTTTATCATTTTCAACTTTCGTATTCTTTTCTATAAATTTTATTATTCTTATAGCTCTTCGTTTCTTTCTTTTTTCCTCCAATTCCTTTTTTTAGCATTTCTTGATTAGTGGTATAATATGTCATTCTTTCGAAAAAAATAATGCGTTAGTTAATTAAAAATTCAAGCCTAATTTCAAAAGAAAAATGCCATACTTGGATATCCTCGTTCTACTACAGACAATTTTCGATCATCATCACATGAAATGGGACAAATCTGTTTCGGGAATATTCCTTTTGATTTCATATAACTTGTTAATTGTGCAGGTACCTGAAAAAATGGACATTTAAGCATAGAAACAGTGAGTTGCATTATTTTTTTTTAGAAAATGCATAAACTTCATGGTTAACAAAGTAAGAAAAATTAATACCTAATTAAATGTTAATTTTCGTTCAAAACTACATTTAGTAAAGAAAAATCAGTGTTGATGGTACAGTTTCCTTATTGTTTCAGTAATTTATTTCTTCATGAAAATTTTACTGGATGCATAAAATTTGGACCATAGTATTGATAATTTCCGAAAGTAAATAAACGCAAAAGTTATGTTTTGAATCATCTTACTTCTTGTAAAACTTCTTTAGCTAAACGATACTTAGCTTCGATCAAATCATCATCCGTTAAGATACGATGAGGTGGTAAAAATTCCCGAAGCTGCACAAACTGAAAAGAAAAGTAAATTCAAACTTGTGTCTATTACAGCCGAAGTCGAAATATAACAAATGAAAGAGAAGGAAGAATCTGCAAATTACCTGAACAATGTCACGCTTTGCATATTTGCCATTCACTTGTAACATTTGTCGATCAGAGTCTAGAACCTTCATTTCACCAAAACTGTCATAACCAACACCAACAATTATTATAGATAATGGCAGTGATGACGCCTTAAATGAGTGCTTAAATTATCAAAACAAAAAATGAAGGCAATTTCACTAATTCATTTACCATTGCTTGTCTCAGGAATTTTGTGACCAGAAGAAGAAGTAATCATTGCAAATAAATTAATCACAATCCTTTTTTGATGCTTACAGTAAAAAAAAAAAAAAATTAAGTGATACCTTTACAATTTCTTCCTTTGCTCTATTCATATCGTTGATAACACCGTCAGTGATTATTAAAAGAACGGAATATCTACTACCATCCGGAGGTAACGAAGCTGCATGTCGTGCTGCATGCCGTAATGTTGGCCCAAATTCTGTTGGCCCTGCCAATTCTATTCTATTTAACGCATCACGATAGGCATTTAATAGACCATCCATTCCAATGCATTCTGGACTATTT